CCCTTCCTCCCTTTCATCACTCCCCTCACCCGTTAGTCTCCTACTGAGTATGTTGTAAATAATACTATTAGTACGGCAGAGTGCACTGTAATAATCCTGAGGCACAATGCCAGTTTGGGAAAAAAATCATATTTTTGCGGCAGTTGATAAAAAATTGTCATCATTGTGAGCCTACTGGTCTTATTAGTTAAATTATATACCAAACTACAATTACAACAACATAGGCCTACAGGTGTACAATAGTGTAGTAAAAGATGATGAGAACTAGTGACACTTATTACTAATTATATTGCAAACTCATGTGGTTGTGTGGTTATACATTGATGTATTCAGAGTTCACTACAAGGTCATCTGTCTAACCGTTAGTGAAGTCTGAACGTGAAGAGTGTATGTGAACATTGGGTAATTCAATTAATATACAAGTAGTAATATGCTACGATTATGAGCCCATCTGTATAGTGTTAGTACCATCATCTATTGTTCATTAAGGAGAGGCGAGAGTGGGCTTAAGATCTTTAATACAATGCAGTCGCACAGCTTTTACAAAAGAATTACGAGTAGATAAAACGTCAAACGGCAATTTAGACTTTTCACTTACTGACTCTGTGAAAAGTGTGAGATTTCATGGCCTAGCGTGAGAGCGTGAGATGACATGCAAAAGCGTGAGTCTCATGCTCAAAGCGTGAAGGTTGGCAGATCTGCCGGCATGTTCACATTTGACATCTTCCCGAAATGCAACGCAATTTTTTCCGGCAAGTTAAAATTTACAACTTCCTCACCAAGGATGCGCCCGCCAAAAGTATTAAAAATAAAAAAAAAATTAAACCCATCAAGTAAAGACGCCTCGCAAGACACAATGGCTTGTTTCAAATCATGCCAAATGGATGCAGTGTTCTGTGTCAAATGTGAGAAGTGGTTTCACAGAGAATGTGAATGCATCACAGAAATACAGTTCATAGACAAGGGCCACCTGCCTCATGATTTTATTTGCAAGAATTGTGCATCATTCGAGGGTCATTTCGATTTCAGGTAAGAAAACATGGTAAAGAGTTCCATACATTCTGTCTGTCTGCTGTGTGTCTGTAAATGTTCTGCTCGTTTAGCTTTTAACAGCTTATGATTATATTAATGAGGGGGGGGGGGGGGGAAGGGCTGGGTATTGATGACAGATGGTGACAAGGGGGGAGGGGGTTTAAAATGAGCAATATTTTTGATGACATAATATGTATACGCTCCCTTTTCTCAGTTGCAGATCCAGTCTGCAGTGACTGATGACAGATGATAAACAGCGACAGCGCTCTGGGGCTAAACATGAACGTTGATGACAGAGATGGTGACAGGGGGGTGGGGGTAAAAAATGAGCAATACTTTTTATGACATAATATGTGTATGCTCCCTTTTCTCTATTGTAGATCCAGTCTGCAGCGACTGATGACAGATGATAAACAGCGTCAGCGCTCTGGGGCTAAAACTAAAATGGAACAAATTCTACTTCGCCATTACAGCTTGGACACCCTCACTCGATGTATCAAGTATCCTCATTCCGATTTGTTGGTGGATTCTGATGCATACAGGAAATTAAAATCCTTTAATGGGAAAGACAATGGAAGAAAACCTATACAAGTGAGTGGTGATGGGAGCTGTTTATTCAATGCAGTCTCCGTGGCTTTATATGGAAATGAAGCTCACTCGATGGAACTACGCACCCGAACAACAATCGAACTCATTCTGCATGGCGAAGAAAATGAATAGACACCCTCGTTTCAAAGATGTTTGTTCCATGGCTGAAAGCATCACCGAGGGATACAAAAGAGGCTACTCGTCAGCATTTACCATTGCTGCCTTCAACCGTTATACAACATCCTATTGGTTCTGTGTACCCACCCCTGAATTGTCTGATTGATGAGGTATTCCGGATCTTAACAACAACAGTTCACCCCCTCAGATCAACCACAGAGATTAACGAAAATTTTTTCGTCATGTGGACAAAGGTAGAACATGTAGACTCAAACAGTTCCTGGTTTCCAAACCATTTTGTGCCTTTGCTAGTTGACAACAGTGATCAGCCAGAGATCTAGATCATCTGCTTATCTTTCCCATATCCGGCAATCCACCCTTAACTTAGAATACACAGAGACTGGGAATGAAGATGATGAGATTATCTAATCTGATTTGTTTTTCATCGAACCTGACGTATCCACCATTCACAACACCTATACTGATAATAAAGCCAACAGTGATCCTCACAATAAAGACCACAATGAAAACAGCAAAAGTATAACAGGTGAACTACAGAAACAAGGTGACAAAGATAATCTCTACAACCACTTTATGGACATTATTGAGGCATATATGGCTTCCTTACATCTGAAAAACCTGCACTGCAGAAAATTCCAACAAGGAAGAAGGAGAATCAGTTTTTTATAGTTCAGTAGGAATAGAGAAAAATATCTTGAGAGGAAAGCAGAGTGATTTCACTGATGATTGTGGAGTTTGGGACAGTGGTAAAGGTTCCATAAAAAAAGTCGAGTTTGTCGTAGACTCTGAGGAACAGCCTAGATTCATCGAAAAATATCAAGGTGCATATTATCGAAATCGAAAAAATCCGAACTCCATTTTGAATCCGCAGCCAGAACCAGAGCAAATATATGTAATCAAAAAGTACTACGCAACATTGAAGCGTGACAACAATTACAGAAAAAGAACCACCTGGATTGAAAAAGCACCACCAAATGACAAACATGGAGAGAACAGAGCATATGGAATACATTGGAATTTACCCCAATGAGCATTCACATCATGGTAATGCCAAAGCCTCTACTGGTCAATACATCCACACACAACAAGAGGTGGTTGATGAAATAAAATCAGCTGTGGCTTCTCAGCAACCAAGAGTCACATACACAAACATTGTTCTAGACTCATCATTTGACTGTCCCCGTGATCTCAAACAAGTTCAAAACTTCAAACAGGCCACAAAGCACCACAGTGGAGACAATTAAGACATCCCCGCCAAAACTCAGCTGATCAAATTCAGGCCATTCTGTCTCAGCTCAATGACCATCCATTTGTACAGAATGGCCTGAATTTGATCATACAAAAAGGAAAACCCCCGGGCTTCATTCTCTATGTTAAGGATCAGTTAACAGACATCATGAGATACTGCTCCGTCGATGCAGCTGAACCTTCAGCGATGGGAGTAGATCGCACTTTCAACCTTGGGGAATGCTATGTCACCTGCATTGTGTACAAGAACAATAGACTGCTACAAAAGGTTTCACAAGAGGCTCAAGAGCCTGTAAGGCCCTGTCTTCTTACATTGGGATGGACTTTATGAAAGCTATCATGCTTTCTTCTCACACTTGTAATGCCAGCTAGACAGCACAAGTCTGTCTGACATAGAGTGTGGTATCTTGGACGCCGTGGTCGGATCTGACGAAGAAGGCGATTTTAAAGGCCCTGAAACAGTGCTTTCCAAATTCAACCCAGCTTTTATGTTCTCGCCATCTCATGGAAAATGCACGACATCGGCTGCAGGACAAAGTTGGCACCAAAAAACCCCCTGCAAATCGCCATACTGAATGATACCTTTGGACCAGACGGAGTCTCAGGTGCTGACATTTCATTTGATTTTGAGCAAAGGTCCAATTACATCATTTCAAAAGTTCAGGAAGAAGTGCCACTCTTCTCTACATACTTGCGTGAGAAGCTTTTGCCAGCCATAGAAAAGCACATTGTGGAACCACGCTGGACGGTGGGCAGTATCCCACTGAACTGGAAGAACAACGAGGCCAAACCACATACTCAAACTGGAATTCAGTTGGACTCCCCACAAGCTTGCAGATATGATTGACAAAATTCAGTGCATAGTGAATCTCCAGTTTGCCGATGTAAGACGAGCGCTGCATGGACAAGGAAATTTTCAGCTGGTCCCACAGTGTCAACATTTTCAGATTTCCCACACTAGCTGGCTGTCAAAAACAAAAACTTAAAAGGACAAAGCGTATTCGTACTTCGACACACTGCTACTACTCCGTGTACCCTTGGTCCGCCTTGGAAAAGGTACCTCCATTTCTCACCCCACCCAAGTGTAAAAGGGGTAGATCTACCAACCAAAGACAGCGAAGGTTTTGTGATTGTAGGTGCTTCGCATGTAACAGGATGCAGCACCTGTAAGAGATGCTGTGTGATTGTTGTAGTCGTTGTCGTTGAGTCTGTGGTCTTCGGAACTGGAATGTTATTGTTATAATGGGCGGTCGGGGGAAAAGACTGAAGCACGCTGTCCAGATCTAGATCTAGGTTGAATTGAATGGCTACAGGTCCCAGACGGCAATTAGATGTAAGAGTCCATATGAGTCATTATGAGAGCTGCTTTCCAGACGGCTCCGGACGGCCTCTGGACGGCTCCAGACGGCAATTAGTAGGACCCATCTAGATCTAGAAATCCAGACCTAGATTCTAGATTAGATTCTAATAGGAAGTGGCTATTCTGAGATTCTCATCCGGGGTGAGAATAGAAAAACGATCTACCTCTCACCCCGGGTGAGACTTGCGACCGTAGGCTATTCTCACCCGGTCTGAAACAAGACCTGTTTTTCCTCATTTCAGAATACTTTCTATCGATGTGGATGATCAAATTGATAAAAGCCAAGAAAAAATTACGTTATAGCACAAAAGTAAGCTAATTTGATTGTCTTCAAAGATGCTATGGCTATTTCACTGTTCGAATCGAGCCGAACTACGCGGGTCGCCATTTTGTTTTGACCGGAAGTTCTCGCGCTACTCCTCTCTCTCTCCACTGCCCACAGACAAAATTGTACGCTTTTAGTAGGCTATCAGTTGTAATGGAACGTTTGTTCACGGCACAGAATTCTACAATTTTTCTGTTATAATCACAGTGTAGAATTCTGTGGTTTAGGGTGAACGCAAAATTTGTTGGCCTAGATCTAGGCTATAATGGTTAACGCGCACCGGGTGAGAATCTATAGCCAAAAGACTCGCCTGCACTATTCTCACCCAGGGTGAGAATAGAGGTGGCCATTCTAATAACGAAGTGTATACAGACCCGGTAACCGGGAACAAAGTCACGAAGTATACAGACCCGGTAGGGGAACTCTTTTGTGAGGTCGGAAAGTTTCAGCGCCCAGACCCGGTTGTGTGTGTGTGTGTGTGTGTGTGTGTGTGTGTGTGTGTGTGAGGAGAGAGAGAGAGAGAGAGAGAGAGAGAGAGAGAGAGAGAGAGCAGGGGAAAGTGCTAGCAAAATATGACAGGCCCCAGCTAACATGAGGGAACGAGAAAAAGATAGGTGGGGAGAAAGAATGACAGAGACAAACAAAGAAAAAGAGAATGCGAGCGATACACACACACACACACACACACACAGAGAGAGAGAGAGAGAGAGAGAGAGAGAGAGAGAGAGAGAGAGAGTAGAGACAGAGACTGCTCAATTGAAATTATGACACTGTTCTTTTCTTCAAATTGTGATTCCTCCAAGTCCAACAAACGGAGGAAAAACGATCGTTCATCGAAAAGACATCCGCAATCTTCATTTAGATCTAGAGATCTAGAGATCTAGAGATCTAGAGATCTAGATCTAGATCTAGATCTAGGCTAACCTCGAAACTAGATCAATGATTTATGTCTGTCTATCTAAACCTAGGCCATATAGATCTAGATCTAGAAGAACCTAGTCTAGGTCTAGATCTACCCTGAGCCAAGAGGGCGCTGAAACTTTCCGAATTCACAAAAGAGTTCCCCTACCGGGTCTGTATACTTCGTGACTTTGTTCCCGGTTACCGGGTCTGTATACACTCCCTTCTAATAATATCATCATACCAAAAAGTCAAAGTGTACAAACTTAGGACTTCACAGGCCTACCAACCAATTTGCTGGCTATTCCTTCTCTTGACTTGTATGATGGGTCCACTTGGGGCTTGACTCTTGACTTCGGTGATTTCAATTGGATCAGGCCTTCAATTTCAATAGATCTAGAATCTAGACTAGATTTTAGATCTAGATTATCTAGATCTAGATCTAGTCTAGATTCTATGTCTCGTGGAGATCAAGTAGAAAGCACAAATATAAGGCAATCACAATGTTGATAGCAGCAGTGGGTATGAACGTACCCGGAACTTGTTTACTGAGCCTCCCTCCAAAGTCAGCAGTCAGCCAAACAAAGGCCAAGACTAGATCTAGGCCTATTTCCCAATTCCACTCAAAATGAATAGGGATCGCTCAAAACAATAACAGAGGATGGGCGGTGTCGTGTGTCGTGTAGTCGTGTTGTTGTAGGCGCTAATCGATACCAGTACTCAGTACTTGTTAAGAACGACCCCCTAATAGTCCAACGTTCAGATAAATTAAATAATTTTCCTCGCTTAGCCTAGGCCTAGATCTAGATCTAGACTTAGATCTAGATCTAGATTCTAGTCTTTTTCAATACCAAAGTTTTTTAATCTTTGGGATTTTTTAAAAAAATCTAAAAAGCGCTCGAATGTGTCATTGCAATTTTTGCCTATAATCAACATATAAAAAAACTAGATCTAGAGGATAGATCAGTCTTTGAAGACAAAAATGCTGCCCACGTAAGTTGATTATACACCCGATGACAAAATTTCGTTTTGGCAGTGTGGGTTGCCAAAGTGCAAATTTAAGGTATATATATATATACACATACTCACACATTCACCCAGACGTGCGCGCGCGAGCCACTCCCTTCGCAAATTATCAACAAATCTCGAGAACAGAATCCGTTCGGAGAAATAGAGTTAAAGTTTATTTTCCCGAGCGTTCGGAGAAAGAGAGCCGACCAATTACACTAACCTTAGTCCCTTAGTCGATATAGTACTCGATATTGGCCAGTATCGACTAGTGGCCCACCAAAGTCTCGCAGCAAATAGTCTAGACCAGAGACCGTTAATAAAAATCATTGGTCAACGCTTGCTGTATTATTTTGGTCTTATGACGTCAGGGGTGAATCCAAGACTGAAGTTGTCGGTCTTGGTGTGAATGTCGCAATATGGGTAGTAGGCGAGGCTGGTGACAATTATAACAACGTGACAAAAGTGAGGGGAATAATTAAACAAATTAAGACACACAGGTTTTTTGTGATTGAGCAGATTAAATAAGAATTTCAAATATATATCTAAATATAATGAACCAATGTAACTATTTGGACAATGTTGTACAAAAAGGAGTGAACCGTGTACGTCTTATCATTTTTAGTTTCTTGGAGATAGAACAAGCCTCTGCAAGACAGATTTCCCCATAGCGTCAGAGCCGCTCATGCGAGAAAATGTTCTGCGACTCCGAACTAGTTTGCCAACAAAGTAGCCTATATTTTTTTCCCTATCAATTATCAAGCTAGAGAGTAAAATATAATTGTCAAAATTAATTCAACATCATGAGAGTTAAAATCCAACACAATGGAAAGCGCAAGCAAATACCAACTTATGTAATCGCAGGAGAGGGAACTCAAATCCGTCATTGTCAATTCAAATGCAGCATATAGGCCTAAGGATTATCCAAATCCATCAACAGGAAAACCGGAGAAAACTGCGAAGCTATGACGTAATTATAACATCTCTGGGGAAGCTACTCGAATCTGTCTCTTAGCAACGTTTGTTGTACTGCTTGTGTCTCTTGTTGTCAATAATACTGGCGGTCTGCTGTCTATATCTATATAGAAGATCTAACATTATTTATCTCGTTTTGTTAGATCCAACAGTTTGAAGCAATCAATCGATGGTTTGTAAAAAAAATCTTAAATAAAAATCAACGTAAAATAACATATAACATTATTATAAAGTATGCCTAACAAACAAACAAACAAAAAACACAAAAAAAGAAAACTCACCTATAATACCCTACTCAAGGATGAATGCTATGCAGTACGCCAAGTGATCGAAACTGGAGGCGTTGGTAAAGAAACAACCCCCATCCCCCCCCAAAAAAAAAGAAACAACAAAAAAACCCACCACCACCACCACCACCACCAACAACAACAACAACAAAAACAAAACAAAACAAAACAAAAGAGTTTTAAGAAAGTTACCCTGGAAATGAGAGATGAGCTGGATTCAATAGTGGAGCAACCGGGAATACATTTCTCGACAAAAGTAATGATAAGGGGCAAGGATTACGCTCCTATGATTATAAGAATTAATTATTTATAGTATAGCTTCTTAAAATTTGGGACAAGAGAAGGGGAAAATAAGGTTTGGAGTGGGGGAGGGGATAGAATAGTAGGCCTACTTGGCATGCACATATGCAACAGATATTGGAGTTTTGCCCTTCACAATTTATGCACCGTTGCGCACGTTTACGTGTCAGCAATTTTAATTTTTTTTTTAAAATGACACATTGACGTGTAGAATGTCTAAGAGCAGAGGCCATAATCTCTACATATTATATTGGTGAATGTCTATCAATTTGGCCGCCTTAAACTTCCGAACCACTTTGACTGTCCCCGTAGACTTATGCGATTGTGCGGCTGCGGCGCGGCCGCGTTTTTTCGCGTAATTCTGCAACCTTTGTATAATTTTGGATTCCCCGAGTTTTTCACGTTCCCCCCCCCCCCTTTTTTTCCCACAAAACAATTAATTAACGCCTCGCCATGTGACTAAAGGGAAAAAATCACCGTAATATAAGTCTCATTTAAGCGAAAAGTCGGTTATTTCCCTTGTTAGAAGATCTTTGTTATGGGTTCCATGTTCAATTTTTCAATCCATCAAAAGTTGTTGTTCTCAAGTCTCCTGATGATTCATGCTTGACAGGTGTCCTTGGTTTTAGTAATGTGTCAGCATCAGAGGTCCAGATGTCCTTTTTTTTCTTTTACATTTTTCATTCCTCTATAGATCTAGGTCTAGATTCTAGATTTAGATCTGCAGCTGAAAGTTACAGAGATTAAATTTTTTTTTGGTTGTTTTTTTCGTACTGATTTGTATTGTTTTCTTTCCAAATACATAACAAATTACTGATACTGATATGTTCAGTTAAAAATTTTTCTGTACCTAAAACATGAAAATCAGGAAAATTTGTGTAGAAAAAGTGCAAAACATGTCGCGAATGGTGTTACAGTAACTTGCATAATTTTGCATAATTTGGCTTTTTTTCATAATTTGGCCATCTAAATTTGCATAATTCTACGGGGACAGCTTTGACAACATTAATGGTAGTTCAGAATCATTTATAGGGTGCACAGTTTTATTGAGGAGCCTGAAGTCACTGTAGTTTGATTTTCAGTTTTTCATTAGTTTCATTTTTATCTTGGGAAAGTCCGTCTTCTAAGACGCCAATGCGAACAAGTGAGGTTTCCGTTCACTAGCCGTGTGCAGTGCGCACTCATGATTCCACACCTTTGAAATTCTGGAGTGTACAACCACGAGAGCGGAATAGAGAATCAATCTAAACATAAAATTGGGCAAATTGGAAACGCACGTGTCACTTTTCTCCCAAGATTTACTGCTCCATTCTAGTAGAGTGTAAATAATTAAAGCAGTCCAATTCAGTTGATGTTAATGCACCGACCATACCTTTCATCGAAAGGGGGCCCAGCTGGTCTATATATATATCTATATAAAAGTGGACTTGGGAGGCTTTGTGCACAAATTCCTCCGGGCCCTTATTACCTAACCCACACCTTTGAAACGTTGCAGGCGTCCACAGCATCCATGTGGCTAGGACGAACCAACTTTAAAAAATCCACGCGAACTGTTTTCCCTGATTTTTCCAAAATTCTTTGTTTCATCCACACAGAGTTCTAATCTTGGGAAAGTACACATTCTAAGACGCCACTGTAAACAAGTGAGGTTTCCGTTCACTAGCCGTGCGCACTGTTTCTATATCTTTGAATTTCTGGAGTGTGCAACCACGAAAGCCGAATAGAGAATCAATCTATATATCTATTATATATTTGGCAACTTGAAAACACATGTGTCACTTTTCTCTCAAGATTATTGCTCCATTCCAGTAGAGTGTAATTAATATAGTAGGTCAATTACTTTCTTTTGATGTTAATGAACCGATAATTCCTTTCACCGAAAGGGGACCCGGCTAGTAATAATAATATTAGGACAGTGCATGATCTACGACAAATTCAACCCAACTTACACAAGAAACGTAAACTTCCGACTTATGAAAGCATAAACTGTCTCAACAACATAAATAGACGCAACTTAATTACAGTTTGAAATTGATTTTTTAAAGAATTATTTTGATGGAGGAAAATTAGTAAGAAAAAGATGGGTCGGTGAATGAGCATTAGCTAGGCCACTGCCCAATATTGTAGTCTGCTTTCTCAATCCGCAAGAAACAATTTTCATTGAGAGCAGGGCAACGACATTGCGTTCTTGGCACTTTACACGAAATTCCGGATTGGCTCAGTGCTTTGGGAGATTGACGTTAAACTCGGAGGTCCGGCCTCTTAAATAACCTAATAGTGTTGATAAGGGCATTTACACTGTACCATTTCACCATTTTCATAACCTAATAGTGTTGATAAGGGCATTTACACTGTACCATTTCACCATTTTCAGCCTAAGTCTCTTAAGATAATTTCCTACTTTACTTTTATTTTTATCCGCCGCTTATACCATTTTGGGTGTCGCGGGAAGAAAGAGACGTATCTCTGTCGCCAGCCAGAGAGCTTGGGTCCATAGGATAGCTCGCTGAAACCAAAATGAAAAAGATAGGTCCGGGAAATCAAAATGTAAAGAATAGCTCTATGAAACCAAAATGAAAAGGATAACTCCTGGAAACTAAAATGAAAAGGATAGCTCTCTGATGCTAAAATGAAAAGGATTGCACTTGGAAACCAAAAGGAAAAGGATAGCTATATGGGAAACGAAAATTAAAAGGAGAGCTCTCTGAAACAAAATTGAAAATGATAGGGTTGGGAAAGTAAAATGAAAAGGATAGCTCTGGGAAACCAAAATGAAAAGGATAGATCTGGGAAATCAAAAGGTAAAGAATAGCTATGGAAAAACAAAAATGAAAAGGATAGCTCTGGGAATTCAAAATGTAAAGGATAGCTCTATGAAACCAAATTGAAAACGATAAATCTGGGAAGCTTAAATGAAAAGGATAGGGTTGGGAAACTAAAATGAAAAAGATAGCTCTGGGAAACCAAAATGAAAAGGATAAATCTGGGAAATCAAAATGTAAAGGATAGGAATGGGAAACTAAAACGAAAATGACTGCTCTGGGAAACCAAAATGAAAAGGATAGCTCTGTGAAATCAAAATGTAAAGGATAGCTATGGGAAACGAAAATTAAAAGGAGAGC